CATCCGCTGCAGGGAGATGCCCCTCTTTGAGGCGGAAGCTGGCAATGCCGCTCGGCTGTGACCAAGAGCGGGGGGCGAAGCCTCCCCTGAGGTGCTGCGTGGGCGCAGGGACCCGGCTCTGGTGGCTCCTCACAGCCCCCCGGAGCTGTCTGCGTGCGATTTTGGTGGCGGCACCGGCCTCGCTGCGCTCCCAGGGCTGCGACGTCAGCATGACGCCCAGGTTTACGACGCGCTGGAGTTGAGTTAATGCAGTGGGCGTTGGCAGAAGCTGGGTTAGGAAGGATCCTGGGGTTGTTTAATATGTGTAGCTACCCCAAAATCCTCCAAAGTTTTTCTTTGAGACTTGGTATGTTGTGAGAAGGGTGGGGAAGGAGCGTCCTGCTCTCTGCCTCTCTCCTTCCCGCTGTCCTGGAGCGAATTTCGGCTGGAAGCCGGGGCTGCCGGTGCGATGCCGCCCCGTGGGACGTGTGCGGTGGGTGCGGAGCAGGTCGTGGAGCCGAGAGGTTTGCAGGGGCTGTCGGTGTTCAGAGTTTCCCTCCTCGAAAGCCTTCCTTTGGGTTTTCTTTGACTCGTGTGAGCTAAGGAGAGGTGTTAGGTATGTCGCGGCGTGGTGAGAGAGCCGGCCGGGGGTGGATCTGGGGTGCGGAGGGAAGGAATGGGGTGTTTGGCCTCAGAAGAGGTTGCGATGTCTCTTTTTGACGGTGCTGGCGGCAGAAGGGGTGGGCAGACGGAGTGGGGGCTGCAGGCGTTGCGCGGAGCTGTCGTCGTCCAAATTAAACACGAAATGTATTTAAGGGGTCTGTCTCTGTGTCTGTCTGTCGGCCAAAGCGTTTCTCGGGTCCGGGAGAGAGCTGGGCTTCATCTCTTCCCCTCGAAGGTTTCTCCAGAAATCCCAACAAGCTGCTGATTGCCTTAAATGCAGGATCTGGCCTTAATTAAAAGCAGGATCCGGCCTTAATTAGAGGAGCAGGAGGGGGCAAGGTCTGGTGGGGGACTCCCTCTGAAACCCCCTGATTCCTTGGCCCTTTCCGTACGAGCAGCTCCCGTTAGCCCCCTCCTTAGCCTCCCTTCCCGGGCATCTCGCCCACCCGTGGGCACCCACCCGTGCCCCTCGGGCATGGCGGCGGGCGGAACGCGAAGCGCGGGGCTC